TGTGGTGGTGAACGCGTTACTCCCCGAAAAGGACAACAGCGTGTTCGCTTCCCACCGCAGACATCTGCGGCGCGGAGTATTGCAAATATCTCAGCATCACTGAAGCTGATTTAAACACATTTCTGCGCTCGCTATACAGAACCAAGGCTGAAAAGAGATTATCTCCATAAGCGGTACCAGAGTCTGATAAAAGATACACAAAAGTTTACACAAGATGAGGTAAGATGTATGAAAAACAAAGCAGAACATAGAAAAGGAATGGGGGACCAGGGAAGGAGAAGGACAGAGCAACCCATATCCTCTGAGTTCAATGGACACTGTGCGAGAGAAGCACTGGATTTCGATCCATGCGACTGCTACACAAAATTGCGTGCAGTTGAACATGTTTCAAATGATAGGAAAATTGGTAAAACCGAACCTGACTATGTAGCTCAATAGGACGAATTAATCGACGCTCCCTAGGGCTATTTATCGTGGATGTCATAGAAAGTTCATCCAATGACCAACCTAACCGTTTGTATACGGAATTGAAATGTGCCAAGTACCTATAAGAAAATTTAGGGAATTAGGATACATAAGCAACAAAGATGCACACTAAAAAAACGCGCAAGACATTACTTGGATACGAGGATTTCCGCATGAGAGTCAAATCTATCTTTCATTTTCTCTTCATAAATTCTCTTTTGAGTACTAGTACTCGTTCCGTACTCTATATAGACAACTTCCAAAAACAGAACAAGCAAGAGGACGCAATTAATGAAGAATTTATCGACATCCTTATTTTTCACGATACCAGTTATACAACCTCCTAACAGTTTAACGCCTCATCGCCGCAGGGAGATGTTCTGGATGCCGGACAGCGATTTATAGCGGAGAGATTCACCCCGCGGGCAGTATCTCCCAAACTGAGGAGTCCGGCGTTTCCATCAGAAAGTCCAGCTAAAAGTAAGCCAATACCGGGATCCACCACGGTCCTGCTATCAAACTAGTCGAATGGCAGCAAATCTCCCGCTGATTCGCAAGATCCACAAAGCCGGCGACTGGCTGTGGTGGTACTGACCTGGGCGGACTTTGGCCTGGCTGACCTCACGATTCCAGGCGACCAGAAAAACTCCGATAAAATGGAGATTATGGTCAGGCCCGCACAATCAATGAGGACGGGCCATCTAAGCATCTAGGTAAGTACCAGTTTTCCAGACATCAAATCTTCTTTGACAAAGAAAGAAGGAAAAAAGAGAAAGAAGAGGAATTGTTTAGGCAAAACTCTTCACATAGACATAAGAAAACATACCTTATATAGGCTTTGCGAACAGTGGCAGGTGTCGCACCCGGACAACCTTCCAAGCGAAGTTTGCACAGAACCTAATGGACATGGAAATCAAAAATAAATTGTAGTCGATAAAAGAAATGATTTTGCTGACACAAAGTCGAAAACAAAACAAGCCTTTTTCCATTTCTGATTTGTAGTAACTCGTTTGCAACCTCCGTAATCTTGCACAACACGATAAAAACGGTATAAATCTATGTCCTTTCCACCCAGTATCGGAGCCCGATTAATTGGAGTACCTGGAATCACAAGTCCCAGAGTTGGAACTGTAGATGAAAAGTACAGATACAGATACAGAAGATACAGTCATACATACACGGATAAAGGATAAAGCTCTTGGTCTTGATCAATCCCTCTGAGGTGCGCTTTGTATTCGACTTCATTAAGCATCGTTTGGAGGTGATTGAATGCATATCTGGCCTTTACGATGACTCGCGGTGGCTTTGCGATGTATCGAGTCAGCGCTGCTATCCTCCCAGACAAATCTGGTACCAATATGCCGATCCAGGAGGGATAAAGAGCTTGGTGGGCCATGGGAGCGAAAATCGATTCCGCGTGTGTGTTGCAAGGCGCCTCCGACCACTGCTCCACACGTGCCCATATGCCCATATATACACGACTTATGAAAAAATTGAAAAAGAACAGGAGGTTAAGATTACATTAAAACGAAACACATAATGATGCTTTACTGAGTGATCCTACCTCGTTCTTCCTGAAATTTGTATAATTGAGCCACAAACAAATCTCGTTCTTCACCATACTCTTCCTCACCACTGTCTTCAGAACTTGACGAGTTGCTATCCACTCTTAAAAGTTCGACAGAAAAAAGTAGGAGAAAAAAATGAACAGCCACACAAGTAAAAACAACGCCACGAAATGCTCACTTCTTCTCTGTAACTTTCTTCTTCTTTGAATCGTCGTCTCGTTTCCCAGATTCATTATTCTCGCTCTTCCTATTGACCTTCTGTAAATCATTCTTTGCCGTCTGTTTTTTCCGTGGAACATTTTCCGCATAAATATCCTTTGAGGTCCAATTATTAGGAAGAGTGCCTAAAACACTACGCATTTCTAAATAGATTTCAAAAATACAGAAATTTCTATGAAGGATATTAAATGTACTCTGAAACAAAATATGCTGAGTTTTTTTAAAAGTGGTCATTTAATTCATGATGCAAAGCGGCAGCTCTCCTAACAAACAACCTCCGTACTGCGTGAAGTACAGGGAGTCTCCTGGTACATATATCTACTTTTATGTGTATCTACGTACTCCCAGAATAGAAACTGGCCTAAGCAGCGATAAAGGAAAAAAGATAAAGCTCTCAGCGTTGACCAGTCCGTGAGGGATGCGCCATGCATTCTACTTCGTTAAGCGTCGTTGGAGGTGAACGAATGCATATCTGGCCTTTACAATGACTCGAGGTGGCCTATCGATGCATCGAGCCAGTGCTGTCACCTCCCAGACAAGTCTGGACACAAATTTGCCGACCCTGGAGGAAGGGAAAGCTCGGTGAGCCTTGTGCGCAGAGATCAATCCCATGTGTATTGCAGGACGCCTCCAACCACTGTACTACACACGCCCTAAGCAAGGACGAGAAATTTAATTAGAGATGTGTTGAAATGCAGAGGATTCGTAAGTACGGACCATCCAAATATTCAATTATGTACTTGAAAATGATACGAGATGGAAAAAATGAGTGTTCAAATTTGACAAAATCTCTAAAAGATTCACAAGAATACCTTTGTTCACGAAGGAATTAATACGATCGATGGCTGTTCGAAGTTGAGCACTCATCGTGTCCATAGCTTTCTTATTCAGGGAATGCTCTTCGAAGCGGATTAGGTTTGCTGACGAAATCACCGAACTTAAACACACAAATAAAGGCACGCTTTTTCTTTAATCTATTGGAAAACATTGAATAAAGGACTGATTACGCACTACTTCCCGTTTTGAAAGCTACGGAGGGCGACTTCGTGCTTTCCAGGATTCTTCAGTTTGTTGTTCCCATCTCTGAACTGACCACATGAAGCTGATACGAAAAGTTTGCTAGAGCACAAGACATGAAAAAGCAAACTTGAAAGCCTTCGGATTTACAATAACTGCGGGAAACCATTTTCCACGGTGCTGTGAGTCCTCATATGCACAAACTGCGCTCCCAACGGGGAACTAGACAATAAAAACAGTAAAAGATATACATAAAAGTAGGAGTTTGACATTCACCTTTTCGCTTTTCTCGTCTAGCCGGTCCGTATTTCCTTTCTGACCTCCTTGTTGAGGTTTACGACTGGAGTCTTCCTTCTTTTGGTCGTCGTCTTTTTTATCCTTCTTCTTTTTATCTTCCTTCTCACTCTCAACATCTCCGTCACTGGATTCACCTTCACTACCTGGTATATCGCCATCCCCACTACCTTCAGTGTCTCCCTAAAGAATGTAATAGAGCAGTAATTTCAAAATTAATCGAGAAAAACCCAGTTTTGCCAACTCAGCTAAAATTAAGAAACAAACACCGGTATCATAATGGACTTTTATACATGTTTATAATCAAAGCACTTTCCACCAACACTTTGCGCACTTCAGATTCCAGTTTTCTTAAAATGGATTCGTTATGAGATGGTCTACGTTATGATATCTCTCTACAGATGATATCTACCACCTACGCTCTCCCCAGGAACACAAAATGAACTTAATCATAACAATGTTAATGTTTTACTTGCTGCCTACTATAATGGCAGCGCTAGGTAGAAAACTAGTTGAGACAAGCAGAGCAAGGGCCTCAGTGGTGCAGTGTGCAACGCTCGAGCCGCAGGAAACGGTAACAGCGGTTCGATCTGGCCGAGGATCAAATTTCGCGAATATCTCAGCACCACTGCGGTTGTACTTAAGCATAACGTCAAAACTAATATTCTCCTTTCGATTAGCTACATCCGGATGCCATTTTTAAAGAAACGATCTATCATTTCAACCCCCTTACTGAGATGTTACAAGATATGAAAAAAATATTTCCTCGTGTTCTTCGAAGAAAAATAACTAGAGAGAATTTCACTCAATACAGACTCGTTGCGTGGACCCCTAGAACGGCTGGTTAATAACAATAATTTTAACCATCGTTGGTATAAATGTAACCAAAAAAAAGTATGTGCTTAAAGCACAAGAAACAAGTCATGAACAGTGAACTAGTAAGCTACGCAATATTTTAAGTTATGTAAACCGTAGTTACTTAGATGAACTCCACCAAGATACGACTACCTATTTATATTAAAACGAAACTAAGTTAAGAAGCAAGACCTCGCGAAAATAACCCCTTTCTACAAAATTTCTACACTAGCTAAATGTTCAACAGGAAAAGAAATGAGAAGGTAGATCGACCCACATGATCCATTTCACCGATAGCAACAGTGGCTGCTGAAGCGGCTGCTCTTTTCTTCCTCTTTTTTCCTTCTTCGTCTTCGCTATCTTCATCCCTACGCCGTTTAGGTCTTGAAATCGAAGCAAATACGATAGACTACTTTCACACTTCCAAACAGACATTTCTTAGTTTCGCCCATACAAAATGTTGGTCCTACTTCTTGATCTTCTTCGTTTTCGTCTGCGGCTTTGGAGCGGCGCAAAACTGTTCCGGATTGTACAATGGCATTTGATCGAGGTTCGATTCGGTGTCAAAATGCTTTGCTCCCTTGAGGCACATTTGAGTGCGTCGCAATACTTTCTCGTCACCATCATTGAAAACTGCAAAAGGATAAAACCGAACGTCCAGAATAATAACAACACAAAACAAAGATATGAACACGGACCTCGGGTGGTATACAAGGATAAAAGCTCTCGGCGTTGATGTGCCATGCATTCGACCTCATTAAGCATTGTTGGAGGTGAAGGAATGCATTTGTGGCCTTTACAATGAGTCGTGGTGGCCTACCGATGTATCCAATCAGTGCTGCTGCTATCCTCCCAGACAAGTCTGGTACCAATTTGCCCACCCCCGAGGGATGGAAGGCTTGGCGAGCCTTGGGAGCGAGAATCTATCCGTATACTGCAGGGCGCCTCCGACCACCGCGCCCTCTCGTGTAGTAGTACAAGCAATTTCTCAACTAACCGACGTGGTACGTACTGCAATCCTTCACATGTTGAATGACTCCCTTTACTGAATGCTTTCCATGAAAAACATCTACAGTTTGGTTGACTTCTAGGGTGCCTTTTACCAAATGCTCTTCAACTACCATCGATCCGAAAGGTGCTTCTTTAAGTGCGATCTAAATGGTAACTTATAACCATCAGGACGACGAAGAAATATTACGATTTTACGGGAAGGATTTCCTATGGAGATCAATAAAAGTATGCATGGAAGAATAGTTCGCCACTTATTCTGGTTTTATTTTAAAAATAAGAGAGTGGCAGAGCTGAGTAAGAAGTGCATTTACTTACTAAGATGACCCGTTCTTACTGGTTATGCGGCATTTTGCTCGTTTAGTTCTTGAGCTTCCATAGAGTGCCAGTCTGCCCTAGGTCATCACCACTAAAGGCCGTCACCGCCTTTGTTGATCAAAGGGAGCTTTGCCACCATGCGACTAGTTTGATCCCAGGACGGTGATGGTTCCTGGTATTGGTTTGCTCTTAGCTGTGCTTCCTGATGGAAACGCCAGACTCCTCAGCCTGAGAGACCTTACCTGGGGATGAATCTCACCGATGTACACTGCCGCGCGACACCTAGGAACACCTCCCAGCCCCGATGAGGCGATAAACCATTGAGAGAGAAGTGAATTTACGAAATACCAAAACGAGTAAATAAGTAACAAATACGTTTAAGGCATATTCGCATGCAAAGGACATCTGGTCTTATAAGAATAGTAACATATTTACCTTACATTTCACCGATTTGCATATTTTTTTGATTTTAGCTTCACAGAAGGCTCCTTTGAATTTTGCACTGACTTCAGTACCAGGAGCCAAAAAGGCTGGATCATCTGACTGAAAAATAGTACTGCTTGAATCAATCCGACTACATTTCAGAGAAAAGTACTACTTTCTTGCAGGGCTGGGAACAAAGTTTTTCATAGTCCTCGTATTCAACGCAAGACTGAATGACAAGACAAAGTAGTCAAACGACTGCAAGAAGTACTGCTTGCATCAAATTAGAAATGATCCTTCCAGTGATAACAGGCAAACCTGCATAAGCCCTCCTCAACTGAAAAGCGACGATGTGCGCACGTCTGCGACTCCGGAAACCACAAGCGAAAGATAAGGGGTCTCAGATATTCCTGGGATATCCAGACAGAAGTAGTACGCTGCAAATAAGACAAAGGAAAATGCATCACATTTCTCTTCTTGCTATGACGAACAGAAAACTCGGAAGTATTGCTGCGATAAACGATGAAAGTATGGACGCACCAGGACATCGTTTGGCGCGTCTATGGCAATGGAGCGCGTCTGCACGGTCCATGGCCATTTCATAAGTGGTGTGTACTAATCATGTCAAAGAACACGTCCGCTTCTTGAAGAACAGCAGCAGATCGACCTCAGAAATACTGATTAAAGGTGTAGTAAGTATAATATGTGTCTTCGAAGTTTATTTCTGTCGCTCATTTCAAGTAGAGAAATCCCCTTGAATAAAACACGGGAATCCGATATGGAACATGACCTTGTTGCCCGGACACTTTCATTTTACTGAATAGTCTAATTTATCTTCTATACATAATAGTCGCCGCGATTTTACGATATCCATTTCGAAGGCGTGTGTGGCGCAGTGGTTGGAGACGCCATGCAGTGCACTTGGGATCGATTCACGCCCCTGGCCCACCATGCCTCCGAAGTCGGCAAGTTGGTACCAAACTTGTCTGGCAGGACAGCAGCACTAGCTTGGTACATCGGTAGGCCCCCGCGAGTCATTGTAAAGACCACATATGTATTCAATCACCTCCAACGATGTTTAATGAAGTCGAATGCATGGCGCGCCCTGCAGGATTGATTAACGTCAAGAGCTTTATCCTTTATCCTTTTATTTCGAATGACCACTATCCATCGAAGTATTGAGGCTTAATGTCTTCATCAAAATATAATTATTTGAGAGTTACCTGCTAGAGATGCTCATTAACTCTTTCACCAGCATGGGCCTTGGTTCCAATGTGTATGCTGCTGTATGTTTCAGATGTTTCGGACCGTACGTCTTCATTTCTATCCGCACCACAAGTGCGCTCCAATGACACGCCGTGGGATGGCAGCCGCGCGAAATGACCGCGGTGATGAAGAGGTTAACCAGCTTTAGGCCAGGCAACCCTTTAGGCCCCCCCCCCCCCCCCCCCCCCCCAGGAAGTGTGAACCTTTAGCCTTCACATTTCCTTGAAGAAGAGCCTATGCAACTAAAGCGCTAAACTCATGGCAGATGGCAGAGGGACACGTGTAGTGCAGTGGTCGGAGGCGCTCTACAACACGCATAGGATTGATCCCCGTGCCCATGCTTAGCAAGCCTTCCATCCCTCCGGAATTGGCAAACTGGCATCAGACTTGTCTGGGAGGGCAGCAGCAAAGACCGGATACAACGGTATGCCAGCGCGAGTATTGTAAAGGCCATGACATGTATTCGATCACCTCCAATAATCCTCAATGAACTCAGATGCATGGCGCGTCCCTCAGGGATTGATCAACGCCAGCAGCTTTATCTTTTATTTGCCTTATGACTTTCATTAACCAAATGATATATTCGTAGAAATAGACTGTCATTTAGTCTCGGCATAAATAGTGAAATAACATATTTTCGACAAGACTGCTGTCCTTATGGTGGCGTTTGTGTAACAGCGACAACTTCAGTTCCTGGAGAGGAGGACATATTTCCCATGGTATTTGGATTGAGGGGTTTCAAAATTCCGTGACAACCCGAGCATATCTCTTTCTCTTGCTCATTGCGCCTTTCTCTTGAAATTACAGCAGATGCGGCCTTACTGTTGTCCACATAGATTGTATGTTTCCATTTCATGCATGAATAACAAGAACCACTCACCTCAAGATTTGTAATTGGGAAAAAATTTGGAAATTGCTGGATGGAACCGTGTCAGAGTAGATTTCGTGAAGAGACGTGAGAGTCGTCCTATATTCGTCGTGCTGGACCGCTGACTGGAGCCACATTGAGATGAGCTCCACTCGCTTCTGGCTCGGCAGTTGTCACTGTCACGTGCCGAAGAGTGTCTGGACATGTTAATTGCTGTCTTCATGTCTCCTACTGAGTGAACGTGTCAGAACACGGATCGTCTGCGTGGCGTCGCACCTTTGAAGCGGTGCAGGTCCCAGCGGCACTCCACGCGTACAACGCGAAGTGCTTCTGTTGTGTTCGAGTTCTTTTTGTTTGAATGCTGTTCATCACACAGTGTAGACGAAATCCACTCAGTATTTCTGCAGATCGTTTAGTTAACAAGAGTTTGCTATAGTGTTTTACATTTGTGGTGTGATATGTCGTATTCCATACCAACCTCGATTAGGCTCAGTAATCTGGCAAAATATTGATTATTCTTCCCGAAGCTTAATGTAAGTCGGTTTTTCCAGTTTTTGCGGTCTTCAGGAATGGTTGCTTGGAGAGCAGCGGGTACTACGTTCGCTTTTCGCAGATCGCAGCTGAGGTGACCAGACAGTGCACGAAATCCACGGCCAAGACCACTGCGAAAAATCCGGCCACCCTGGGAAGTTTGACGGTACGTTCATGGGTTTCTTGTAAATTTATGTAGCAGAATGTACGGTGGAAGCTGCAAGTTGTCTTCTTTGATGTTGGTTATTACTAGTAACATAAAGTTGGAAGATAAAATGCTAGCAGCCGAGATTCCTAACACCGACCTAGTACCTCGTTATGGATGAAATAATTCAGTTTCCATAATGAGCAAATAGAAGTTGGTTACTTCATCCTTTATTCACGAAAAAGCTGACGTTTCGGCGGATTTCGTCTTCCTCCGAGCCTGGAAAGGTCAAGTTGACCGCAATGTACGTAGCCAACACTTCTATAACCAAATATTTGATCAGTACCGAGGCTAATAGAAAGTCGGTCGTGAGTACGTTCAGGGGTTCTTCTAGAGTTATGTAGCAGAATATGCAAGGAAGCTGCAAGCTATCTTCGTTGACAATGGTAAAAAGTACAGCTAAGCGAGATAAGCAAGGTAAGGCAAGTAAGTAGAAAGCAAAAGTAAATAAAAAGTAAGAAAGTGAAGTCTAGTAGAATCGGAGTTGTTTTCTACTTTTGCTAAGCTTCAGTCTATTACAATAGGCTGCCTTTGGGAGGTTGATTTTATTTTCATTAGCAGGATTCCATGTGGTTAATGATTTTCAATCAGCATTAGACTTGTTTGAAACACCATTTAGGTGTTAAAGAAGTCTAGTAAGCACTGAATGACTACCTCAGTTATTCTCAAAGTGCTTCAAAGCTAATCAGCAATCTGGTTGGTCAGAATATCTGGCGTTTGCGTTTTGCATCCGATTGGAGATTCCCAGATATGTTTTTGGTTCTTGTTGGAAGTGTGCTAACGTGTTTAATGTGTGGAATAACTCGAACGAGTTCAATTTCGTGATTGCTGACGAGTGTTGGTGGAGTGTGTGCTGCTGCTAAATGGCTTGGATTTCTTGCTAGTTCTATCCGATTATGGCTGCATGCTGGTTGCAAGTTATTTTTGAATCAAATACTTGGATAATTGAATGGCCCGTCCTTACTGGTTGCGCGGGCCCAGAATAATCTCTATTTTTTCGGAATTTTGCTAGTCTAGCTAGGGAGGTTCCTTGGAGTCCCGAGCTCAGCCAGGCCAGAGTCTGCCCCAGGTCGTCATCACTACAGGCAGTCGCCACTCTTGTTGATCAGAGGAAGATTTACCACCATGCGACTAGTTTGATACTAGGACAGTGGTGGATCCTGGTATTCGTTAGCTCATAGCTGGGCTTCCTGATGGAAAGCCAGACTCCTTTTCAGCTTGGGAGACTGCTGGGGATAAATCCCCCTGCTGTACGTCGAAACCGGGACCCATAACGCCTCCCAGCCACAATGAGGCGGTAAACCGTTGGGGACTTTTTAATCAAATTACTGAGTTAAGTAGATTTTTCTTTCTCATTCACATGAGAAAATGATCGCGTAGCTATTTTTGCTTATGGGGTTTTGGCTCCCGTAAAATTCACTGGGCATCTCGTTACCGTCTTTAGGTGATAAACAGGTGTTATAGGTAATCTAATGCGAAATCCTAGGACTTTCTCATCCTGTTCTGCTGTGAACTTCCATTGAAATACAAAGAGTATTATACGAAGAAAGCAGAAGGGCCAAATTTCTGCTTGTGAATTGTAGAATGCCTGTTCGAAATGTGTAGGTGCACTGTGATTCACGGGCCTAACAAGGCTGTCCTTGCTCTCCATGGCTTTCGTGACCACTTCTTTTTTTAGATAATTTTTGGCGGTTCGCATGATTTAGTTCTTCTTTTTTTCACATTTACCACGTGTGATTTCGCCACTTTTAGGTAATTATGTGGGAGGGCGGCAAGGCTACAAAGAAGGCTTAGGAATCCAGAATGGATATATTTTATCGTCTCCAGAATCTGAATGTGTTGACTGTTGTTGAAGTTTTATCAATAAATGTTACTTGTTGCTGAACATAATCACTTCGTTACCACAGTCGGTTCTCTGTCGAACCAGTACTTGACTCCATGATGCATTGTAGTACGTAGTTTTGTCTGTCACATCGTACAGCCAAGGTCCTTATCATCAGTGCTTCCCTAAGTATTACATGCTTACGTATTCGTTTGTCAAACTTGTCTTTTGATGAACAAGTGCTGTTTAACTGTAAGTGACGGTAACCTTAGTTCTACGTGAAGGACATGTTTCGTTTACATTGTGCATCTACCAAATGAAAGATCTAAGAATTGGGAAATGTCGGTAGATCTCAGCATAGTGTAAGTTGATACAAGAGGGAATTTAACATAGATTTCATGGAAGGGGAAATATTTGGCAAGGTCTATATTCCGTTACCTAAGTCCTCGTCAGACTAGAGATAGTGGAACGGGAGCGGATTTTTCTCAAAGTTGTGTTTACTAAAGATTAATTCCAGCGTGAAAGGATCCATTGGGGTCATTTCATTTGTCTTTGTTTACAAACTAACTTATTCAATGTTGCGTTATATTGACGATCCTTAAAGTTGTTCGTGTAAATTGCTGAGATCGATTCCAGTACACTATATTGTGGGGAGCGGACACGCTATTACCTTTGGCGTGGACTAATGCGTTCACCGCCACACCATGCGGATCCTTCAGTCTTTCTCTCAGCTCTGTTATTGACCTATGGGTGCTATCAGCAGTCACCCATGAACAAGATTGATCTGTGGAGCGCAAATCGGCATTGAATCCCAGTTAAGCTGAAGCTGTGGTATAAGTCACAATGTCGTCGTTTTTTATTTACTGGCTACTCTCTGTTGTTTCATCCTTACTTACTTAAGTTCTTCGACGGCCTGTGTTGACTATTTGTGCTGATGCCTCAGCACAAACTCTATTTCTTCGGAGTTTTGCTGGCCTATCCATTATGGTTGGTTCCAGGTCGTCACCTCCACAGACATCCGCCGCCTTTATGGATCAGAAGGTGATTTGCTACCATGCGACTAGTTTCATACCAGGACGGTGGTGGATCCTGGTAAAGGCTTAATTTTAGCTGGCCTTACTGATGGAAACGCCGGACCCCTCAGCTTAGGAGACCCTGCCGGAGGATGGATCCACTCGCTGTACATCGCAGCCCGACGCCCAGGAACACCTCCCAGCTACGGTGAGGCGGTAAACCGAGGGTTTTTAAACTGTATTCTAAGATTACACCCCAAAATAGTGTTTTTTAGGCAAAGGAAGGAAATCTTCGAAAGGCGGTCAAGATTTATTTCTGTTTAAATATAAGAACGTCATTGTAACTTTTCTAAACGCGTTAAGTGAGCAAACGTTTGTAATCTAAGTTATCAATCAATGTAATCAGTTGAAAAAATTTAGGTCCCAATGTCTCCTCCATTAAAAAACAGGAATGAAGCGACCTGCGACGGATGCTACCCACCTACTAGGTTCACTAGGAACGGAACTAGTCCATACTTTATAGGGAAATACAGAATGTCTCGCAGATGTGCAGATAAAGATGAACATAAGCTGACGAGGTTTGGATTCGGTGGCGAAGGCTTCATGCTGGAGAAGCAACAAGAGGTATGGTTTCTGTTTTGCTTAGATTCACTACACTTGTAGATTCAACGGAATTTTCGTTTCATTCGTAGAGTTTCGTAGAAATGGTGCTTCCAAAACATTTACGCTTTCAGGTTTCATCTTTGGCATCGAGTACACTAAACGGAAGTAATGGCATGTCTTTCGACTTTCATGACGATCCAAAGCTTCGAAGGGTTAAAGAGGTCATAGTATCAATTGTCGACTCTGTTAGTTATTCTTTCTGTTTTTTCAGTCATGATTTCGTCAACCGTTGTTCGACCGCGTTATTTAGTGGCTGGACCCTATCCTTGGCGCGTGTGGCGCGGTGGTCCGAGGCGTCCTGCAATACGCACGTGGGATCGATCCTGCGCTGATGGCTCATTAACCCTTCTATCCCTCCGGGGTTGGCAAATTGCTACCAGACTTGTCTGGGAGGATAGCAGCACTGGCTCGATAGATCGGTAGGCCACCGCGAGACATTGTAAAGGCCAGCTATGCATTCAATCATCTCCAAACGATGCTTGATGAAGTCGAATGTATGGCGCTTCCCTCAGGAATTGGTCAACGCGGAGAGCTTTATCCTTTATTCTTTTTACTTTATTGTTAAACAAATTAAATCTTCACAGCTTAGGAAAGGAAAAGAGAAAATGACAAGGAATTGCACGATGCAATTACTTCTGCTTCTTGTAAAAGTATGGAGTTGCTCACTGGAGGTAGATCCAGGAAGTCGAAATGGTATTCTCTGCTACTACTCGGTCCAAATGTAATAACTTTTATAGTGTTATATGTGGAATATTCAGTTTGGAGAAACAAGGCATTGCGTCCATTAATGACTTCAAAATGGCGTCGGGTAGTGATGTGGTGAAGGAGATGAAACAAGTCGTATGCGATCGTGAAAATATCGAAGTGAGTGTGTACTCTTACTGCATTTAGCTCGGGGCTTACTAATGCCTCTTTTTGCTTTTCTTTTGAGGAATTTAAATCAATTGTGAAACTTAAAATTTCAAACATTTCAGTGCTCTAATAGTCTGGGTGACAGTTCTGTTCCAAATTCGGCGAATGTGGAAATGTCTAAACGATACTTAGGCACGAAGTGAGTATACTTAGAAAAGAAAAGTTAGTAGTCTAATTTGATAATGCGTTGTAGTTGTTGTTACCTAGCGTAGTTGCACTACAGTCGCTAGACGCCTGTTAACGTTTGTGCTTTTTGTCACGGAAAAAATGTTTTAGAAAAGTCCCACAAGTGTTCACTGCTCCGCCCATTATTAAGAAAGCGCTCCATATGATGGACGTTGGAGGAGGAAGTGGAGGTATATTCCGTAGCGTCCTTCATGAACCATCTACTGCTTGACAGTAGCCATGTTTCTGTTTTTCAGCTCATACAAGTGAAGCAGGTCTTCATGCTGAATCTGCTCTCAAGCATTTTGATGCAAACATAATTTCACTCATAGAATCTGAGGTGATTTTTACGGGTTTCCTGCACATATCTTTGTAATGTATCTTTGTAAGGTGCTGCTGTAGCGCAGTGGTCGGCGGTGCCTTGCAAACACCCTGGATCGATCCCTACGCCCAGGCTCACAAAGCCTCTTATCCGTCCCTGGTCGGCAAATTGGTAACGGACTTGTCTGGGGGGTTGGCAGCACTGTCTCAATACATGGGTATACCACTGCGAGTCATTGTAAAGGGCAGACATACATTTAGTCACCTCCAACGATGCTTAATGAAGTTGAATGCATGGCGTATCCCTAAGGAATTGATCAGTGCCAATGAGCTTTTTAAAGCTTTTATCTTTGTTTTGCTTTTATTCTTGAAGACGTGTTTCTCTCTAGTGATTGCTTTCAGATTATGTCCACTACACAGGATATTGGGTGGTCCGATGTAGCGGGGTTAGAAGGTGCGAAGAAGGCATTAAGAGAAATCGTTGTGCTTCCATTCAAAAGACCGTAATGCTTTTGTTTCCATTCTCTGTTTAAGGTTTTATCTGAAGGAATAGTTACTAGAAGTTTTTCAGTGATATGTTCAAAGGGATTCGAGCGCCACCTAAAGGAGTGTTATTGTTTGGTCCTCCCGGTACCGGAAAAACGATGATAGGTGCTTAAGATTTCCAATATGAAATTTTAGAGTATTATTCCTTATTTACAGGTCGATGTGTAGCCTCTCAATGTAAAGCTACGTTTTTCAATATATCGGCCAGTTCCTTAACATCAAAATGGGTTGGTGAGGGCGAAAAGCTCGTTCGCGCTTTGTTTTCTCTAGCCAGGCTGAAGTTACCAAGCGTCATTTTCATTGATGAGGTATGCCCTTTCCAATATGTTACGCCTTTTATGTTGCCTATCACAGTTGTGCTAAATAATCTTATTTATGTGTTGTCTTGAGAAGAAAGCAAGCTTCTCATTGTATATATTGGGCGTTAAACACAGTGTCCTTTTTTGTTTTGCAAAAGTCCGGACTGTAGCGCGGATCGGACACGCTATTACCCCTTCCGGGGGTAACGCATTCATCACCGCACTATGTGGGTCCTTCGTTTCGCCTTTCTCGCAAACAATTTTCTATCCAAAAGGACCTGCATGGTATGGTGGTAAAAAAACCAGCCCCGGAAATGTAGAAGCGTGTCCGAATCTGGAATTTTGCAAATATCTCAGCATCATTGTGGTGGTGTTTCATGTAATACCCTGCCGTGCAGAATTGTAGTAGGGTGAATAAAAGGAGCTAACGTTGTATCTCTTGTTATTTCGCCCTGATGGTATGAACGTGATTTGTAGCTTCATCTTTGAAACATGAAATTGTTATGAAACATCTATGACTCTTGCCGCAGTTCTTTTCAGCGATTATTTGTAAGCTTTCATAGGTTGATTCTCTCCTTTGCTCTCGTTCTGAAACCGAACATGAATCGTCACGGCGCATTAAAACTGAATTTCTTGTACAATTGGATGGTGTTGCGACAAATGCGGACGAACGACTTCTTGTACTGGCTGCAACTAACCGGTTTGTTACCCTTAAAATCTTAATCTGGTCTTCTTCTACGCACTTTCATTCTTTTTTTCGTTGTTTTGCAAATATTTGTGGAAAGTTCTCTATAGCAAATATAGAACAATTTCTGTGCGTTAATCAGCGTTTCTCCTCAACGGTTTACCGCCTCATCACGGCTGGGAGGTGTTTCTGGGTTTCCGGTTGCGAAATACAGCAAGAGGACTCATCCACCCAACAGAGTCTCTGAAGCTAAGAAAGAGTCGGTTTCCCTCAGGAAGCCCAGCTAAGAGTAGACCAATAGCAGAATCCACCACCGTACTGGTATCAAACTACTTGCATGGTGGCAAATCTCCCTTTGATCCAGTAGGAATGCGACTACCTGTGGTGGTGACGAGCTGGGACCGACTTTGGTCTAGCTGACCTCGGGACTACAGGGAACTGCAATGACTGAGCCACCAAAACTCCGAAACAATGGGAATTATGCTGACGCCGGTACAACCAGTGAAGACGGGCCGTCCAAGTTTCTAAGTAAGTAAATAATTAACGTTAATCACTTTAACCATTCGAAATGACAAGTCCCTTAAGGTTATTAGCTTAATTATCAGGTCATTAAAAGTTATTGACCTAATAACTACATTTCGTGCCGAGTTTTACGCACATGAACTTTTAGCCCTCAAGAACTGGATGAAGCAGCTCGACGACGGTTCGTAAAACGTTTGTATATCGCCTTACCAGAAAGAGAAGCTAGACTGACTATAGTGAAAAACCTACTTGCTGATATGAAGCATGCTCTTGAAGAGGAAGATTTCAGTCAAGTGGCAGAGTTAACAGAGGGTTCATTTCTGTTGCGTGTATTTTATTTTATTTTTTAAAATACTTTCTTGTCATGTTACGTCTACAGGGTATTCGGGCGCAGACGTTCGACAGCTGTGTGCTGAAGCTGCTATGGGTCCAATTCGCGATATTGACAATTGTTCTTCTTTGGACATAGAGACGGTAGAGGTGGAGGAGTTAAGTTTTCTCTCTTCTTTTGTTGTAAAGGGATACCCGTCTCTAAACGAATTTCTTACTAAGTAGATTTCCACATGTTAAGCTCTTTATATTATACTGGAAATAATATGTCATTGGTTTTGTTTGATTACAAAGAACAGAAATTAACTTTTCTTATTCCACTGGAAGAGCTTAACGGTATAGGCACTTTTTTTCTACAAAGTCTCATGTTGATTTAACAAACTCGCTCAAGAAAAATAATCAGAGGAAATTAAGCCAAAAGACAAACTGGGTGAGGTAGAATTTCAATGCACAGTTCTAAAATTAAGTACAACTGGTCTTCACAGCATGGCCGAACGTCGTTAAACAATAGAACATTATTTGGGCTACCGTCTTGTAGCACCTGTCATCTTCTCACATTGAGTATCGTAGATCCTTGCTGTTACGGTTGCACTGGATAATAGTTCTAAGCGCACATGGGTTCCAAATCCCAATGGCAGCAGACGAATTTTCTTCTCGCGGAAGCTTCGTTTTGACCTTTGCATTGTTGATATACATGGAGCGGCTGCCACAAACAATGCAGTGGCACAAGTTATATATTACATTTGCTATTCTGGCGGAAGTTCCATTTGGAGTACATATTTTGATGTTCAGTTGGTCAGGTGGTTATCAATGGCCACACAGTCTTCGAAATCATAAGGGTTTTAGTGCAGCGACGATCAATCTTGCAATTCTTGAAAGAAATTTAAACACTGTTGCAAAGTCTTGGTTCGAAGTTAGTACTAAACCGCTGTATCATTGGCGGTATATTCACCATTGTCAAGCGTATCATGCCGTTTCTGAATAGGTCTTCAATCCCATTCTTTCAAAAGACATGGACTGCACTTGGTTGGCAAGGGAGTTTTAGAGTTGTCATAGTTATCGAACTTTTTGTCGCACAGGTAATGCTTCAGGACCCAGTACATGTGAAAGTTTGTAGGTATCGTGTTGGAGGTGTAAGGTTGGTGAGCCACATTATTTATTGTAGCCTAACTCAGCTCCAGCATGCTGTACACCCTAGCTAAACCAACTTTTTAACTGCAAAGTGCCTTCATTTCATAACGAGACCACGACTCGCTTCGGTTACTTTTAGATCCCAAAAACTCCCGCGCGATCGCATTCTGCAACACAAGGCGTCAGAATAAGCTCACAGTTATGTGAATTGAATTTCGCCTTAAATGATGCAGGCAGAATGCATGGCGCGTTAGTTGTGACTTATCCCAGAAGATATTATCGCTCTATTCACATCTGTAAAACAAAAATTTCGAAAATGCTAACCCGCATGTACCGATCCTCATGAGTTAGAGAGTGCAGTATTCTGCGAGACCTGACATTGTGATAACTCAATGAGTTGAAGTGGCTGTCGTTGGTGATGTGAGCTAGATCGGTTAGGTTTTCTCTGTTTCATATATTTCAACCAAAGCATCAAGCTCACTGAGACGGTGTTTTTCCAGATGTGACTGGCAATTCAGGTTAAGGCAGGTTTTGACCGCTCGTATCACCTTGTTAGGGCTGCAGTCAGAACAGCACTGTTCAAACGGTGCGCTAAAGCACAATGGTCGATTTAATGTTAATTTTTACGATGTTTCAATGGCCTTTTATGCCATTCTTATGAAATATTTCATAATCCTTTGATAAACTTGCACGAGGTTGATACATGATCGTTGTTCGGCTAACGTTCCAACGTTTTGCTCTTCATCAGAGCTGATGATCCGAATCGATGGTCCACAATTGCTCGTCTTATCAATGTGACGTCTTCATCTTTGTGTCGAGTTGGATCTTCCTCAGTATAGCATTTCTTGAATGAACCATTCTCACCCTGCCATGCTTTTTTATGTAAGGTGATGGTTGTTGATACTAGTGATTTTACGGTGACAACGACTTATTTTTCCCGGACAACCAGTCCTGTAGAGTCGGTATCATTATCAGCTTGCAAAGAGCATGGCAATATTTCAAGACCGACTTTTCCTTAGCCTCGGTGTGACAGATCAATATACTCTTTCTTTAGCTCTGAGGAAAATTCGACAGAAACTGATGTTCCATTCGAATTCCTACCTAGTCTTTCGTTATTCAACCGTGTATAAGCTCATCATCAGTAGACACTTTGAATTTATGCAACTTCCAAAACTTTAGTCTGGTAACCGATGATTAGTAACAGTTGTTATGTGTCTTAGTAATGCCTGTAGTTGATCTTTACGTTGCAATTTTCAGATTCGGCCTATTTATCTTTTTGACTTCACTAACGCTGTACAGGTGGTCCGCCCGACTGTGGTGAGCGAAGATTTGGAGGCGTATAAGATATGGGACAGTAAATTTGGATGTCTTCTATGAAGAGTTAAAACAAATGTGCCTCTGTCATTGTTACCTGTGAATGCGAGATTCGCTTTGTCTATGCACCTCACCACTTGTATGTCCCACTTCTAACCATACAAGAGCTATTTTGGCGGTGAGAGATTACTGGGTCAGTTCTAGAAGTGTTTTGTTTGTGTATCAGTAGCCTTTGGTGTATTTCCTGAAGCTTCATGTTTGGAACTCTAGCATCAACTTATTACTATACAGCTGTACTTTTTGGCTTCTTTACGTTAACTCGAACTACTGGAGTCTTTTTGTACACACTGTGTGCTCTAGTTTCTGTCATGTGAAATGCTATGAATATACAATTCAATTAAACTGCGCTCTTTTGATAGAAGTGGTAGATACATTGCTATATATGTGAAGTTTTAGCATTAAGTGCTTGTTATGATTCTGTTACAAATTTGTTCCAGAGTAAACAAGGCAACTACGCTTACTTGTCGAGTGACAATTCAAGTTCCCTCAGTGTACGATAGATTGTTAAGTGATGAAGGGTTACTTGATACTTAGTTGAACCTGAACGGCCCGTACTCACTGGTTGTGCGGACTCCAGCATAATCTCCACTTTTCGGTGATTTTCTGGTTAAGCCATTGTGGTTTCCTTTAATACCGAGGTCAGTATGGCCAAAGTCTGCCCCAGGTCTTCACCACCACGGGCAGTCGCAGCTCTTGTGGATTAGAGAGAGATTTGCCACCATGCGACTTTGATACCAGGACGGTAGTGGATCCTGGTAGTAGTTAACTCTTAGCTAGGTTTCCTGATGAAAACGCCGGACTCCTCAGCTTGAGCTTGGAATACTCTGCCGGGAGACAAATCTCACTGCTGTGCATCGCAGCCCGACACCCAGGAACACCTTCCAGCTACGATGAGGCGGTAAACCGTTGGGAAGGTGAGGAAAGGTTACAATGCTTACTGAGCACTACCCAAAATATGAAGTCTTCACTACTGTGAGATGCCGGTTATTGTCTGATTGACCGAGGGTCTGAAACGTACAGTTTGGTGTTTTATTTTCTTCAGTTAGCCTACCAGGGAGTATGTGGAAGAAGTGTTAGAAATAACAGTTCTAACATTTTATTTGCTGCCTACTATAATTTTCACGGCAGGGTGTGATGTGAAATACAACTACAGCAATGCTGAGATATTCGCAAAACTGGGAACCCTGACCAGAGCGAACCACGATTACCCGTGCGAGGCTCACGTATTACATACTACACTGATGTGTTAGAAATGCTGTTGATTTTTGTTTAATGTAAGTTTTCGTATCGTGCTTAGTCACTTTTATTGACGTTCTTTAACGGATTTTAGGCTCCTTAAACGCCTTTTAAAAGCTTTAGCTTCTATGGGTTTTTTTGTTGTACGTAGTCTCTTTGGTTGACTTCTTTAACCTACCTATTTCGAGGTTTCCCTCAACATTCAGGCTTTGATTCCTTTTGAAATTTATGACAAAAGAAGTATAATATTCGATCTATTTGGCTAGGGTTGCAGGTTGTCAACCCATAAATGAATCCACGAGGTTGCTTAGAAAATGAGGTTCCTCAGCATGTCGTATTACGGATGTTAACTACAATACCTTTCTCGGTTAATACCATTGTCTTACCTATTGTCGTATTGTTAATAGTCTTGTAATAAGTTAATAATAACATAGGTTATTGTCATAGTCCTGTAAAAAGAAACAGGAGTTTCTGCTTTCACTCACTTCATCGTCACTGCTTTTTTGTACGATTTTTTCTTCTACTTTAAAATCAGTACACAAGTCTGTATTGTCTCTGTAATGTTTTACCCTACCTTATCCAGTAATGCACATGTTAAAGGCGTCTCATTTATTAACGAGCATCTACTTTTCCCACATCTAACACTTACTTGACGACGTGACCTCTATAGGGAGTCGTACAGTGCGAACATAGCTTTTACCATTGATCAGCACATCTCAGCTTACAGTAAATTCTTGGTACTTGATACTTGGTAGTTGAACGGCTATGTTCGTCATCATAGCATAATCACCACTTTTGGGAGAGCTACTGGCTAAGCCATTGTGGTTCCCTAGAATCTCGAGGTCAGCTTGGTCAAAGTCTACCCCAGGTCGTTACCACCACAGGTAGGGGCCGCCCTTGTGGATCAGAGGCAGATTTGCCACCATGCGACTTTGATACCAAGACGGTGGTGGATCCTGGTATAGGTTTACTCTTAGCTAGACTTCCTGATGGGAAGACTGGACTTATTCTCAGCTTGGGAGATCCTGCCGAGTGGACGAATCCCTCTGCTGCACATCGCGGTCCGACACCCAGCGACATCTCCCTGCCACGATGAGGCGGTAAACCGTTAGGAGGATAGTAAATTCTATCAATAGAAATAAGACGTCTTCGAATCTAGAAACCTTTACGTACAGTGCGAAATTTTTCTTGTTTTACCACTTCGCAATTCTGATTGTCTGAAACCATGACATATATTTCTTTCACTTTATTGATTCAAGGCTCATATTTTGAAAACCAAACCGAATGAATAAGCGGGATTTTGTATAGCAAGATTATGTCCCCAATATGTCGTATACGTTGTTTTTGCATCTACTAGCCTCTCGTTAGGATCTTTAAGCCTTTTATGACCGTACATCTTGAATGCAATGTGCGCCTCAATGCTCTCCAATGACAAGTCCTTCGATGGCCAGCCAAGCGATGATAACTGCGGTCGTGAAAGCGTTGGTTTTTTTGTATTGTAACAACTATTTAGTGCACCGGGTTGACCAAAACTGTTTCCGTTTTAATATCTTCACGTAGATACGTTATTTTCTGATCACATAACAACACTTTCACGACCTCTTGTTGTCAATCGATGACTTGTCGAACGTTGATTTTATACTGGGTTTGGTCCATAGATAGGTATTCTCAACCATGCTAGCAAAGAGCCGTTTCAGACTCTGGAATGGAATGGTTGGATATAAAAAACCGAGAAGGCATGCAGAAATACACTTCACATATCGTGGAACACCATGTAGAAAGCTAATAACACTGTGTTTAGAGAGTGATGAGGGTGTTCTTTTTCCATTACAAATAAAAAGTGTCCAGGAACATGGGAACATACACAGAAGAACATAGCGGATATGTGGAAGTTGGAGAGACATTGGACGAATGTGAGGGGAACCGAACAACAAAATATTAATCTGAAGAAACCAGTGTGTCGTGCATCTTGCGAGGATGTGTGGACCGTACATCTTCATTTCAATGCGCATCTCAGTTGCGCTCCAGTGACATGCAGTAGTGGAAGGGTTAAGAATAAATACATTTGAGATTAAAGGGGTACTTTATAGATATTATAGGTGAACTAAAAATTAAAGAAGAACACGTCGATAAATCTGTTTCTCGACTTATCAAATGCTTTACTGATCGAAAAATTGCGGCCCGTTGTGGAAAAACTGGCTTCGATCGTTAGGTGTTGACGCGAACAAAGCCGTTTGAAACATCTGGGTTGCTTTATTGCACGGCATTGCGTCCTGCTGTTCGAAATCCCGCTGATTTAACCATTTTGTTTTGCGTGTCTTAAAGATGGTAGAAGTATGTTTCATGTTTCCCGGGCAATGAGAATGAGCTGAAGAATAGGAAGGATTTCGTTTTGGTATTAAAGATCTGCGTATTCTGAATTTCATTCCAACGTGTAACTCGTTTGAACTAGTATATATAAAACTAGTATTCGATATCTGCCCTCAGGAAGGCACGACGCAAAATTCTTCGATTTTGGATTACGTTGCAAATTGAGCTCTATGCATCGTACTTTGTTCTCTCCCTCTAAAAAGGGAATATCAAGCACCGTTCTCAATTCCAACAGACTTTGTTATGCATAATGGACTAAGCAAGTCATAATGACCGCCTTTGACCACTTTTTCTACCAGGTAGTTGTTTTGCTCAAGTTTTTTTTTTGTACCCCCCCCCCCACAGGTTTTGTTGTGGGCACATCCGAGCTAAATTTATCTTTACACTTAACAATGTACCAGAAACTTTTCGGACGACTTCGTCGGATCTAGTCTTGCGGCGAGAGATCTTTGTTGTTGAGGATGAAGTGTCTGTTGTACTTGGAAACTAAATTTTGACATTTAGGAACACTTCTTGACGATGAGATGGTGAATAACAGAGAGGACTAGTGTAGATGTAATTGCACTTTGGATGCATGTTCTTTGTCACCGAAATTGATCCGGGGCTGGTGGACATTCACTAAGTGCACGTTCATGAATGTGCTTCCACACAATGTATGTTTGGTTGGAAAAATTGCAGATTGTTAACTCTCATACTCTCGAGCTTTAAAAAGGGCACGTGTGGCGGGCGCGGTTGTCGGAGGCGCCCTGCGACACACACATGGGGACGATTCCCACGCCTGTGGCTCACCTAATCTTTCATCTTTCCGGGATCGGCAAATTGGTACCAGAGTTGTTTGGGAGGATAGTAGCACTGGCTCGGCACATCGGTAGGCCACCGCGAGTCATTGTAAAGGCCAGATTTGCATTCAATAACCTCCAGCGACGTTTAATGAAGTCGAATGCATGGTGCATGCTTCAGAGATTGATGAGCGCTGAGAGCTTTATCCTTCTTTTTAACCATACTCTCAAGCTTTCACCGATCCCGTAGTCCTTTTGATTAATTCTGTTTATTCCAAGCACAATTTCAACTTTTTATTTGCTGCCTATTCTTCCTTTTCTTTTCATGGTAGGGTTTGATGTGAGGTACAACCGCAATGGCGCTAAGATGTGAGCAAAACTCAGAACCGCCGTTGGAGTTCGAACCCAGGGCCACCTTTCCCGAGAGCTCACGTGCTAACCACATAAATCCATGGCTTTTCGATTGCGGATCAGCTTAGCTGTGCCAGTGTGGTGGATAGCACGTGAACCACCAGCAAGAGTAGCCGCGGGTTCGAACCCAACTGAGGTTCCGGGTTTACCTCACATCTCTGCATCCTTGCGGGTGTACTTTTATTGGTTGAGTTCCGAGTTAAAGGAGAAGGAACTTAATATCAACTGTCGGTCTGCAAATGTCTTCTTTTACTATCGAAAAACGGCTTTTATTTTAAGCGGGACGATATGTTCGTCGACGTTTCTACTGAGGATTTTTGCAGTGGAGTCATATCGTTTCCTCCCTCATAGGTTTCAATGTCTGCCCATTGGAGATGGTCGTGAAGCTTTTCAAATCTATGTTTTATAACTTTGGACCCAATAGAACTGATCCTATGGGCAGCGCTGGAGCAATCGTACCACGGCCGTAGCAGTCTAACGATTCCCATCTAAAGGCAGAACTCGAAAAAGTCTCTTCATGTTCCCCATGTTCGTCGGTTCTCACGACATCTTTCTTTTGTCCATATCGTGTTTCTCGTCGTTCATGGTTAGCACCAATGTACGGATCTCAGGTAGTTCATAAAAATGTGTCGGCTCTATTCACTCAATAGAAGTTATTCGTCGACCTTTATTTATTTATCATCTTTGGATGTACTGTCTTCCAGGATCCAGAGGCTGTGAGGTACTACACAATTTAACCATTTATCGTTGATCCAAGCATGGCAACCTTCTTGTTTATTCTCCAATCCACTTTCTTCGGATTTTTCAAGGTATAGAGCAATAGAGTGCACATGGTCCTACGCATATTTAGCTCTTCTTTATCACTGTTGAGGATCGCTTAGTCGAAAATTAAGTGACACTTCGCCGGCATAATTCAAATTATTAAATTTAGTTTTTGAGCAGTAGTCGTTCTTCTCCCTTTCATTCCTTCCTGTCAGGTCCTGTCTATGCACGATGGACGGACGTGTGTGCGATTCACATCAACTATATGAATTAAGAGATAAAAGCGATTTCTGGATAGCGGGATACGGCTCGCGGATGTTGCCGTGTTTGAAATGGACAACCATAATGGACGTTGGTTGCTCGAGAAAGAAATGGATGCAAGATGTACCAGGGCAAGCGTTAGTCCTGAAATATGGGCCAGCTAGCTGTCTAAAAAGTGAATGCGATGGTAGTTGCATTGTCGAATAAGTAGACGTAGAAGATATATAAAAATATCGAAATTATCTCAACGTATTATCTCACAGTCTGGACGTATTTGTGGCTTTTTCGCTCTCTTACTCGGTTTTTACGTCATTTTTGTTGTCCAATAGCTTCTTCGAAGTCTCCATAGTTTCTTCTGTGTCAGTAATGAGGAGAAAAAACACGTCCACCGTTCAAGCGGGTTGCTCTCTTAGTCTTTATCAGTTAGTTTTAAGACAACTGTTGAGCGAATTTCGGAGTTCTTTTAAAAAGGCTAATATACCATGCATTCATGGCACTATTATCCTACCGTTGTCGATTTTGCGACGCATGCAGCATAAGACCCATGTATCACCTCAGGGATAAGCTGACACGGGCTTACAAAATTTCTACTCAGCTGGGGTTTCGCTACCCCAACTTATGAAGAGCCAGGATGGTAAAACTTTTGTAAGAACCTCGTGTTAGCTCATCACAGATGATACGTTGATTTTATTCCGCGTATGTTGCAAAACTGACTAGCGAAAGCGTATTGTTCCGTGGTGGTACGATGGACAAACTTTTTTTCCGCTTAAAAACGCCAGACTTGTATTAAAGTTAGTTATTGCTCTTGTGTCAACTCTAAATGTTTGAAATCTGGAATGGGAGACACTAACTTCAGGAGACAGTGCGATCTGGTGAGGATTTGTTTACCACGTTAGGGTTGGAATCCGACGGCTTTGTGCCTTCTCAAGGTCGATGTTTGTTCACGAGGCTTAACAAATAGTAGTAGAGTTGGATTGGATGTTTATTTCCTTGCGAAGAATGACTTTTACACACACTATTCACGTATGATTTCCAATCAATAGTTTCTGCCGTTTAAGGATTTCTATACATTCAGGTTCTTACTTAGTGATGATTGAATATAAATTGAAATTGCAAGTTCGATCGGTCCACTGTAGTAACGCTGCATCTGAAGAAATTGGTTCTTTGAATTCTTTTTATTTCGCAACTATCATTGAATAGACATAGTTATTTGTACATGGTTCTTCTGTATTCGTCTGAAGCATTTTTATCTCAGTTGCTCATATTCCATCATTGCAACTGGTATTTTCGCCTCTAATTCATGAACCCAGTGGCGCGTGTGGCGCAGTGGTCAAAGGCGCCTTGCAACACACACGTGAAATTGATCCCCCGCGCCCATGGCCCACTAAGCTTTCCATTGCTCCGAAGTCGGCAAATTGGTACCAAACTTGTCTGGGCGATAGTAGCACTGGCTCAGTAAATCGGTAGACCACTACGAGTCATTGTAATGGCCAGCTATGCATTCAATCACCTCCAAACGATGCTTAATGAAGTCTAATGCATGGTGCATCCCTCAGGGATTGATAAACATCGAGAACTTTATTCTCCTTTTTATCCTTTAAGTCATGTACCCTACTTCGATAGTGTTTTATCAGAAAAGAGAAGGGCGATCTTCAACGCGATATTTCGTTCGTGTTTTTATAAGATGCCCTACATTTCTGTTCTTTTAATACTCTATGCTCATTGCAGATGGCTGTTTACAAAATCTACAACGGCAATCGTTAACATCAACACTGTTAACGTCAAAGGAACTCCTCGTCATTGTTGACTGAAAGATCCAAGTCAAACGACAGCGTCATGGTGTTGGGTGCTGTTCTGTCGATGCTTCGCTATGTTGCGGGCAGCGAAGACAGAGATTTCGTGGATCGGCTTCACTCCTACTTCACTTGCAACATTTTGATCGGTCTAGCTGTTCTCGTTAGCTTTAAGGTATATTCATTTCTACAGTCCTAGGTTCAAATACTCAAATTTCCATGCAGAGCATTTTCTGATTGCTTTATTTAGATTGATTTAGATTTAAATTGCTTTAGCAACATATCCCAGTTGTTTGGGTGCTTTAGATGAGATGCATCATATAGATCTACTTGAGTGTTGAACTCTATAATGGGAATCTGTTTAGACTCTGATCAACTTTTTAGGTCATTTTTATAAGTCCGTTGCCCAAATCATTCTAACATAAAAGAAAGTAAAACCGCAACGATGCTCAGATATCCGCAAAACTTGGACCTCGGGCCAGATCGTGCCGCGATTAGCATTTCCGGGGGCTAACGTATTACTCAATGCACCACTGATGCTCTTGCTTTGCGTTCCTCTCAGCTAGTTCTCTGCTTAACACTGCCATCAGCCATCACTCGTCAGCGGGACTGATCGGGGGAGCTTAAAAAGGAAATGTTTCTCAATGTTTTAATCATCCATGGGTATTCCCATTTTAGATTATCTATTATTTTAAGCCAGCAGTGTTCCTTAGCAGTTTTATGTTAATAAAGTTACCTTGATAATATCTGAAGGCGATTCCAAAGTTCTATCGAAAGCAGAAATGCTGCTGGGCTGAAGATGAAAGAAAATAGTCCTAGTATGAAGATATCATTTGAAATCGCAGTGGTCTTTCTCACAGGAAATTTTTCGTTAAAAACCTTTTAAATTGTAGAATTCGGATAGAAACCTCACTACTATTATATCTCGTCATACCATGGGTAAGGTTTTTGGACCAACTCATCTAATCACGAGGTTTGAAAATAATCTCGTTTCAAAAATGAGAAACTAAGTGATGGTTTTTGGTATCATGTTATTAAAAACTACTAGAATAGTCGACATATTTGGATTTTAAGTGGTGGGGATATATGCGGAAAACCCAACATATCGCTGTCTTGGATCCGACCTGGCTAATTTTCTCCTGTAGATCCACGAAATATGTGTTAAAAGTGCTTATTATTTTGTTTGTTATAAAAAATCTAAACCGTTTTCATGTTATTTGAACATTCCGTGTTTCAGCAATTCGGAGGGAAGCCGATAGAATGTCTTGTTCCTGACATGTTCAGCAGTTCGTGGGAACAAGTGGATCTATTTATTTCTTGGGTTTTTCGTGCTTTCTATCTTTTTATTAGCGTAGTTTTCTTTCAGTATGCTGAGAACTACTGCTGGGCTCAAGACACGTATTTCGTTCCGATGAGTGAAGTAGTGGCAGGAATGCCCGAGTCTGTTCGTAGGCAACGCCGGATAAGTTACTATCAGGTTAGGGTTTTTTGGCAGTTACAAGTGATGAGGCTAAAAGTGGCCTATTTACTAGCTATGTCCTCTTCGGTCATTGACTGAGTCGAGTAAGTACGACCAGTCTCATAGGAATGGATTACTTCCACCTTTACTCTTGTCATATCATAAGATCTACTCACGTACGTAGAGTTTCGTAGTCTAGCTCGTTCAATCTTTGTGGAGTGGTCTGTGCGGCGTCTGGCCGCGCGTTATCTTGTTGAAGGATTGTTCCGATTCTGTTAATCGATCTGTGACTAAGGTTTCTGGTGCGTTTCGTCTGTTTGCTGGACGTATTCCGTCGTCGTAGTCGTTCCATTCAGAAAATTATGTCCATTTGTCCATTTAATCAGCCGATCTTCGCCTGTTGTCGTAGAGGGTTCTCTCATGGTTGCCCATCACAATACCGTCGGGAAGTGAATGCTTCTTATAGTGCAGAAGGAGCGTCGGCGATGATTCAAAGCGCCGATTTCTTTGATTTTCATTCAATTCATAAGGCATCCATTTGTTTCCACCAAAACCTTCAACTCATCGTTGTCAATAGCAGCGAGATATCCATGACCTGCTGATCTTCAAGATCGGACTGGCCATCCTGAAGTTTTTAGAACTAACGTCAAACTTTGCATTCGTTATCGCTATTTGGCTGGATAACTCATTCTTTCGAGCAGTTTGAGCTGCGCTGCGCTGCGTATGAGCTTGATTTCATAATAATAAATTTATCGAGGATGTGTAGAAAAAGTAGGTTACATTATGTTCTCTAATATAAGGTGAAATTGCATAAAACAGCCTTTGCATTGATAAGTAATAGTAGAGAATTCGAAAAATTCACCGTGAGTCTGAAATGATGGGTAGAAATGATACTGTCAGATGATGAAAATCGCATACAGCGGGTATGCTTATTTTTTGTTTGACTTTAAGCTTTCACATAAATTAAGGGTAGCATCCTGAAATTTCTTCAGTGGTTCTAAGGTTTCAGATAAGAACTAGGAGTTTGTGCCACGGAGAAGGTCGTGGTCGCCTATCTATGGTTGACCATTACCGTTTAAGGAATAGGTTGATCAATCCCTGAGGGGTTCGCCACTCATTCGACTTCAGTATCGTTGGAGTGACTGAAAGCACATCTGGCCTTTGCAATGACTCGCGGTGGCCTACCGATGTATCGAGCCAGTGCTGCTATCCCCACAGACAAGTCTGGTACTAATTTGCCGACCTCGGAGAGATGGAAAGCTTAGTGGGCCATGGGCGCGGGGGATCAATTTCACGTGTGTGTTGCAAGGCGCCTTTGATCACTGCGCCACACGCGCCACTGGGTTCATGAATTAGAGGCGAAAATACCAGTTGCATTGATGGAATATGAGCAACTGAGATAAAAATGCTTTAGACGAACACAGAAGAACCATGTACAAGGCTTGGTGGGCCATGGGCACGGGGATCGATTCCACGTGTGCGTCGCAGCGGCGTCTCAAACCACTGCGCCACAAGCGCCCACGCGGAAGATAGTGAAAAGGTGAAAATTCTTTATAAGTGGGTGGCACGTGAATTGATTAAATGGCAGTGAAACCATCATCAGGAAGTCTGTTTTGCGTTTCTTTCATATAAGAACATTGTGACACCCGTTGTAAAGTGGATGCTATACTCCAATAAACGACGTTAAGCAAGAAGGTTGGAAATAGATGAGGTCCCTAAACGTTTTCCAAACGCGATTTTTCACTGAAAGACAGTGACGATGGTTTTTCTGTTTTCGGCAGAGGGAATTATATCGCAAAACAACTTCAATCTTGGAAAAACGACTACACCAGGGAAGTACTACTGTCACAGAAATGGTAAAAACATTCAAAACTGTCGAGAAATGTAGTGGACAAGAGAAATACCGATAGGTTCCCATGGCTTTTTCTGTCGTGAAGACACATCTTCGGAGATTGTCCCTCTCCTGATCTATGAGTTGACGACGTTTTTGCTTTTTGGACGATTGCTGCCATTGATCTATATCGGAATTTGATCTCACGAAACAAAATGATGCGACTTACCTGATTTGAGAGCATAATATCCGATGTTCTTGTAATCATTGTAAAGTGTCAGAAGAAAGCAACACATGACAAAATATTAGGAATGAATTAGGCCTTGGATGGTATACACTGACAGTGTCAGCAATGAATAGTTATGATAAATTGTAAAACTAATGGTAACAAAACCCGCAACGATTTCTGCACCGCCGCGACACTTGGCCTCTACATGGCATACTGGTTTAGTGTTTTTACGTAATGAATTAAGTCTGTTACGAATTTACTGTCTTTGTAGCGTTGAGGGTTTGTTGACTCGGTCGCGATATCAAACGACCGTGTGCATCACAAGCCATCATTAGCCTGTGTGCTGGCTACACAGACTCCTCGTCACTCTGTTCCAAGGCGACTTAGAATGCTTTAGAAGACTTTCCGTACTCTTGTTATCAAACTGGAGGCTTTTGGAGCTTGGCGAGTTCTTCTTTATTGTGGGTTTATTCACTAAGGTATTTTCGGATGTCCCAAGAATAGGTGTCTGGCATGTTTACTTGGGCGGATTCCAAGCTACTTCCTCTGTACTTCACAACCACTTGGTTGTAGTATTTTGACTAAATAGTGATGCATAATAGAATCCAATTTTTCAAGCGCATTTTCACGCAAAAGAAGACAGTCTATCCCTATCATCCACCTTTGTCTCGGCTCAATTACAAAGTCGGTTGCCTCTTCAACACCTCTTTCATTATCACCTGTGAATTCGCCGCATACCTGTGTGACCAACCCGTTTAGGATTCGACAGTGAATTCTTCGTGAAGATTAATAGTGTCCGCTGGAATATCTGCAAGGTTTTCTTTCAGTGGGTGCCGTTTTTTCTTCTGGTTGAAGCCGCTTGTTTTCGACTTCCAAGTCTATTATGGCAGTATCTAGCCGGTCATTCAGGTAAAACTTTTGCTCATTTTGCCCTGTTTATGAGCGCATTTGTGAGTCACAATTGCCTATGCCTCGTTTTCTGTGTCGAAGAGATACCCCACTTTCATAGTTTATTGCTTATTAATTTCTCAAGTAAGAAATTTAAGAATGAATGAGTCATATACATTTCCTATTAGACGAAAGTAATTTGGCCATTCTACTTGAAAGAGCTATGTCTCAACTCGTAGTGATTTTATCAGTTGAGATAAGATTAGGATGCACAGATCTTTGCCAGCGACAAGTAATTGAACAATCGAGATCTTATCCAGTAGAAAGTGATAAAGTTCGCAGTACGTTGTTGAAGTTTGCGGCTGCCATTTTTCAATTTTTTCTTCTTTTGGAAACATAGTTTTTTTGTAAGTTGAAAATGGTGGTGATGTTCTAAGGGGTAAATCTTCGGTTGTTTTACTATCCCTTAGAGATATGCCATGCATTTGACTTCAAACATCATATAGGGAATAGAATAACTCCAGAGTAGTGATTTCCTCGTTGCGCAGTCCAAGAACCAAATGTGCATTGCAAGTTGCGTCTTGCCACTGTGCTACATGCGCTCATAGTCTCTTCTATAAAAAAAAAGATAAAGCTCTCGGTATCGGTCAATAGAGGGATGCTCCATGCATTCGATTTCATTGAGCATCATTTAAAGGTGATTGAATGCATAAATGGTCTTTATAATGGTTCGCTGTGGCCTATCGATGTATCGAGTGCCGACCGCGGAGGGATGGAAATCTTGGTGAGCCTGGGGCAAAGGAATCGATCCCATATGTATTACAGGACGCCTCCGACCATTGTGCCATACGCAACTCTGCTAAAAGTTTGTCAAATTCTCAAATCCAAGTACTATAATTACTAAAGAATTATCTGCAGTTTTCAAAAAACAAACATCGTTGGGAGTGTTTTAGGTTACTTCTCTATTTGCAAATTCCAATAACTGCTTTGATACAGAGGATCTGAGTTTGAAAATTGTTTTCTTTTATTTTTAAATATCAGATGTTACAGGCATTAAGATCCATGAGGTAGTTAAATTGTCATCGGATCCAAACAATATCAAACCTGAAATTAAAAAAGCGAACATCAGGTCACTTACAATACATTTGCAGGTGTGTGCGTTTTACTTTTCAAAATGTTCGGTTTTTGGAAAAGTCAATAAGAACTTGCTTGAATATTTTGTGTAGCTCAACATTGATAGAGGGTCTTATCTCCGTGTGCTATTGCGCCCGTAGTCCACGTAGATGTTCTGTTTCGTACTGTTGTTGTTCATCTAGACGAATGCTTGGTGGTTGACAAGACCTACGGATTTTGATACTGGATGGTGGTCAGCATCGATTAAGCCTGCTTGACGAAATAGACAATCGTTCATCCATGTTAACTATTCTTTCTACAGCTTTTTTTTGCGTTTTAAACCTTTGAGTTCTTTTAAGATCCTCTTCACTTCACTGATAGATCTTGAAAAGGCGAGGGTGTCCTTAACGGTTCAAAACTCTACTGGAGCTTTTTATCAATACGTTCACCTTTCCCATTTCATGCGAGCGAGATTTTTACTCCATTGTGCTATTCCCATGAATAGCTTTCGGGAAATGTATGTAGAAGCTCATTTTCTACAGCTAGAGTAAGAAGGCGGTAGAAGGAGATAGTTGTGTTTGAAATATGAGTAGAATAAAATGTCTATTGTACGACTAGTCTCTTTCTTGCTTGAGTAGGCATCGAAGGATGTGCAATGAATGCTTCTTGATCAAAAATTTGGAATCTGTTCAGCACTTTTTTCCGTATTTAAAAAGCTCTTTGTCGGTTGTTTTCAAGTGCACCGTTGATTTTAAAAAGTATTCTTTCTAGCATTATGTCATCATTTACGAATTCTCTGTTCACTTACTCACTTGGATACTTGGATGGCCCGTGTTCGCTGGTTGTGCGGACCTCAGCATAATCTCCATTTTGTCGGAGTTTTACTAGTTTAGCCACTGCGGTTCCCTAGAGTCCCGAGGTCAGCCAGGTTGCAGCTCTTGTGGATCAGAAGGAAACTTGTTACAGTGGAGACTAGTTTGACACCACGATGGAAGTGAATCCTGCTATTGGTTTACTCTTAGATGGGCTTTCTGATAGAAACGCCCAACTTCTTTTCAGATTTGGGGGCCCTGCTGGGGGGATGACTCTCCACCGCTGTGTACCGCGGCCCGACATCCAGGAGCACCTCCTAGCCACGATGAGGCGGTAAATCATTAGGAGGCTGTTCACTTCTAGGTTACGGAAATTTTTTTTATCGTTTGATCGTCTCAGACTTCCATAGGTTTTAGACAAAGGTCAAACCTAATTTAGAGCAATGTCACTGTCGATTAAAAGATACTTAACAAACTGTTATGTGCTTATGCAAATAGTTACATGATGTAGTAAATTTTAAAGGTCCGATTTTCGTTGTAAAACATTAGATTTATGCGCATTGGGCATATTTTTTAAACTCTTAAAATTCGGAGACGAACCTTATGGTCCTCTAATAATATGAGTATGTTAGCTTTAGTTCATTCTTTAATAGTTTGCAGCTTAACTTGACTTTAAATGAATTTCGTTAAAACAAAAATAAACTATAGCAGATAATGTCATGAACGGTTCAATTTGAGGGTGCACTTCGTTTTCATCGACGTCTACGGAAGAAGCAGATTCGTCCTCATAGTGTTCTAAGGCTTTTCAATTTGCCATATTCTGCTTTCTTTGTAACAACGATGTATTTGTGCACAAAGTTCTTCTATCTAACGAACGTGTGTTTACAGCTGTTACTCATGAACAAGTCAGTTTAATGTTATGGATTAGATTTATTTATTTCACTTTAAATAGATTTAAACTCTTTTGTATACAAATTGCTGTGGGGGGTGGGGGGTGGGCAAGTTGGGCCAAAATGTGTTCTGTTTTAACTTGCAGCGTTTCTAAGAAAATGTAGTTCAACTCACATTTGTAGATCATCGATGAAACGGTTCTATTCAGCGGTTTACTTTGCTGCTACACAAATTTTTTTGCTCATTTTTTTCGTGTTCAGTAGACAAGTTCCCTTCCGCAGGTGTTGGTAGTAGGGCGGGGTCCGAGGGTACTGTACTTTTACACTTTATTATCTACTACGAGTTTGTTCGTCGCATGGAATCTTGAGATGAGTTGTTGCTGACAGTGAGGTACTAGGGTGTCCTTGGTGTTCTTCATCACTGAAGGTCGTAATTAGGATATCCTTGTACGACTGTGTGGTAGATAATACAGGTGATTTGTCTAGATGTAAACGCTCAGCAGATGTAATTGTGTTTACGAATGTGCTTATCACATTCCATTCTTTACGATTCGCAACCTTTAAAATTTACACTTTTTGTGGCTGATTTTGGAGATAAACTTTTATCCTGATTTTCATCCGCTGTCTCCAAATCGTATACGTGAATGCTATACAGTTAGTGAGTGTCCTTGCAGTTTTCTACAGGTGGTACGTGAATTTAGTGAACTGGTATCTCGAGAAGGAAAACTAACAAAGAAGCGAAATTTCATCTTGAAGCAATAACGTGCTGGAATGCATTTTCTTGCGGAATTTTTTAAAAAAATTCCTTGGAAGTTCGATCTTTGGAATAGTTAATATATGCGGAGTTTAAATGAGCAAAGCGGTAAAACCTCCACTGCAAGTTTACCAAGATTTTATCTCCTCATATGTTCGAATTGTCTAGAAATTATCGATAGTTGCCGAGAGCGCATAATGTCATGAACGTTTTAGAAGGTTCTAGGTTTCTGGAAACGACTAAGTACTCATGGTATGGTTTTGGAGTGATTTTGGATTTGCTGAATGGCACGACGTGGCAGCAGTCTGGTGTTTTTCCGCGAGTTTCGCTTTGTGATTTCGATGTAATTCTTCTACAGCTTGTAGCTTCTTCGGAACTCTGTTAGATGTTTGTGGACTGTTATTTGCCTCATGTGAGTTCGAGTCATATCAAGGTTCGAGTAATGGGGAACGTGCAGGAACATACGGTACAATGTGTGCTCGTCATCAACATATTCAACGAGAAGATCTTTATCTTCTTATGGTTTTGGTAAGTTGGCTGAGTTCGGTTGGAATCACCATTTTTCTAGGCATCACTTTTCTCTCCAACAGTAATCTCTTTTCAGGTATTTAATGCTTGTATTTTTCACACTGTCTTCTTTCTTGTACTGGCTTTTCGTTGCCCTTGTACCCCATCTGAATCGCCGATTTATCAACCGGCATCTGGAAATAAGCGAATTACCATTTGATCCATCGGGTAAGTTTTTAAAGGTCTTGTTGTTTCAAACTTATGTGATTTATTGCGAATCTTTGTGATTTTACGGTCATTTCCTTTCCTGCAAATTGCTTTCACGTTTCTTGAGATTTCGTTTCTATATAGGGTTTTTTTTTTCAATTTCAGCTAGTGCACAGGATATCCGGCGTTTCATTGATTGTTATCTTAAAAGTGACGGGATCTTCGTAATTCGAATGGTCACACTCCAGTCGGGGGTATAGTTTTTTGTGTTTTCCTCTTTTACTTTTGCCTCATCGGTTTTTAAGTGCTTTTCTGAAGCTTTGAGAATTTCTGAATACATCACATAGCGAACAATATGCATTAATTGGTGTTGTCGTCCTAGAAACTACTGAGTGACAGGTCGTGTTCATTTCTTCATAACACTGATTATTCCTCATGCAAAATCGAGTCAAATCAAACTAACTGCTTTTTGGAGACAAACTGTCGTAGTCATCGTCAAAATCAACATGAAATACAATGGATTCGTTCGACATCCCGGTATTACTAATTGCAACGTCATAAGCCGTCTTCGCTGCTAGTTATTCACTTATCGCAGGAAATCAACAGGTGTCTTGTCTTGGTAGTAAAGTTGTGCGGACAAGCGATATGTTTGTGGACGGAAAGTCAGTGGGTAAGTAAAGGGGCGAGTTGTCAATGAGAAAACAAAAGTGGTGGAGGTTGAAATGTCCCAACAAAGTTTTTTCAGAGTCAGTGGTGAAATATTCGGCCATTTCGAGTATACAGAGCATGACGGAAGATTTGTTGATATGAGGAAGAACTTAGGTTTTCAGGTTATATTTGGCACTGATCTGGTTTTGGCACTATGGAAATCATTTTTCGGTCTAGAAAACCAGTTGCAGAGAAGTAATTCAATGCCCGATGTTAATAACTCCCCAGAAGGTCCTAATTATTTTTGGCCTCCTCCACCAGGTTTGTTGCTTTTTTCTTGCTTAGAATTTGTCATGTGGATTTGCAGAAATAAATTTAGATGTATGTGATAAGCGTGAGCTCCAAGTACGCAGAGCACTTGGCCAGAATATCGACAATTCGGAAATCACCCAGGTTTTCTTGCAGAAGATTGTTCCCACCTATAACTGTAGAAGGTGAAATCTATCTCTTTAACGTTAATGGGAAAGCTTGGAAAAGTGTGTAGAAAAACATGTCGTTTTGAAGACGGCCTTGAAAAATGTGGACTTTTGGCTTACTTAATTTATCATCCTTTACGGTTGTTATTCTTATTTTGTGGGTTCTCGATTGATTATTTTATTTTTGATTCAGTAATCGTTACTTTGCGACTATGTCTATCCGTCAAGGTGGAGAAGATGATCCAAAGAAGGCTCTCATCGAAAGCCGTGCGACCAGTATAGATGCAACAGCTCTGGTTAAAAATCCCAGACAGCGGTAAGTACCAGTGGTGCATTTTCCCAGTTTCAGTCGTTTTTGTTTTTCTGATTAGTTTCCACTTTTCTTTTTAGGAAGGATGAGTGATTCTAAATCGGACCTCAATGCTTGTCTTATTTGCCAAATCGCTATTCTGTGTGCCTTTTCAGTATTCTGTAATCTTAAACATGGCGATATGCAATCTCGTGCCTTTACCGAATTACCGAGCTTTACTTGTATTGCATCTCATGCTCCATAGTGTAATGCATAATGATATTTTCTTCACTTTACACAAATGTAAAGGTGTTTATAGAATATTCTCTTAAACTGATCTTACTGATGCGATGTTGTTATAGTTATCTTTGTCGTTGCTGTTGTTGTTGTTGTTGGTCGATTGCCCACGTTTCGGCGATTTCGCCTTCCTCAGAGCCGTGCTGCTACGAATGGGACTTGTCTCGTACTCGCAGTCCCACTCGTAACAACATGGCTGTGATAAAGGCGAAATCACATGTCGGCAATCGAGCAACAACAGCAACATCGACAACAACAGCAACAGCGACGATAGCTATACCATCCTTGCATCAGTTCTACAAAATCAATGCATGAGAACAAATAAATAAATATATTGATTATTTATGCCGAGGTTTATAGAAAATCGGTATTTGAGTCTTCTGTAGAATGTTTTTATAAATAGTGCTTTTAACAGCTTAGCTTTTCTCTTTTTTTTTACTTGACCAAGTGCACTCGTGCCTTTGAAGAGTCATTAGAACTTAGAAGCTTAGATAAATCGGAAATTACATCCTCAAATCACATATTACTTGGTGAGGTTTACATTAGCAGATCTTCAAAGCTTTAAAAACTTCATAGACACTCTCCTACCACTCAAGTGTGGGAAGAAATGCATTGTGTGGCATTGATGAAGTGTGAAATTGTTATTTATGTTGTGTTCATTACTTACTCGATGAAAGAAGTTTTATTGTGTTTTATGCAATTGCGCGTAAACATGGAAAAACTGTTGAGGGTTAATGGTTGGTTGCTTCCGTATTTTAATTAGTTTGTTCCCTTTATTGCTCATAAGCGAAATCGCTGTTCCCGTCGTCTAAGTGACCGAATGCATTAATATCAACACATTTTGTTCCGGGTACTATTTTGTCGAAGTATGCTCTCATCAGTGTTCTTCTACGCAGTATCTTTGGAAATATTGAAGGTGCTCCATTCTGTTTAACAGTTGGTGGAAGTGGAAAATAAATAAAAGTTCCGAACTTAAGTTAGCGTGTAATGAAGGTGGACTACCAAAGGTGGGAGGCATCGTGGTTAAACAGGTGATGAGACCTTTTGCAGTAAACACAGGAGATGGATACCTTGCACATTCATAGAATTACGTAGAGGACATGCAAAACATAAAAGCTATAGAAATGATTGGGATTATACATGAAGAAAGCGTGTTATAAATCGACATACAACTGAAGCATTTTTGGTAGGAGATCGTATGCACTGGTTTCAGTTCATACCGCGCATGTTTAAATTAGGTATACCTTAAGCGCCCATGATAAAGTAGACGTAGTTTGTGACAATGTGACGTCTATAAGGGTCATATGGTGCGAAAATATTTTTCCGTTCAAATTTAGGTGAAGACATTTGAACTCGCAGGGTATTTTGCCCATACTAATGAGAATTGTTAAAGTCGCAAAGTCTTTGATGGCAGGTTAAAAGTTCTACTGTTTTACAACGATGGATCTCTGATTTTTAGGAGCTCGTGACTCATATTCCTTATGCCTTATTGCTTCAAAGCTCACATTTCGAACACGAAACCAAATGAACGAGTAGATTTCGTCTACGAAAGTGTGACAGTGTTGCGCAATGTGTCGTTTATGTTTACAACTGCTTCCTTTCGGTTGAAAGTTTTAAAAACCTAAATTTTCTAATCAGTTTCCTGTAGATTTTAATTCTAACCACCTCAATGTGATTGTATAAAAACCATTTATGCAGCACGGTGTGGCAATGTTTCTCATAGATCTATAAAGTTCTGAGCTCCTGAAATGTTTTAGGAATCGAGAAATTATCATCTGCTGTTGAGGAAACCAGTTTAGCAACGGTTTTAGTGACTGAAATAGTCACCTATGAGCGCTCAGTGTTTTCTCACTGAGTTAACTCACCAGCAAAGTTTTAACCAGCAGGATATAAATAAATTACTCCACGTTTTCACATGTAGTCCATCTGAAGAACCTTTCTTCTCAAATTACATGGTCAGGCATGTCGACGAATTTATGGGAAAAGGTGGAACGTTGAACATCACGTAGCTGACAAGTTCTGAGAAGATACAGCTCTATAATGGATTTTTTTATTCTGATTTACAATGATCTGTAGCATTTGTCCATAGTGCAACTATTTGGTGGAAATATCCGAAGAGTTCACCAGTTTCCCTCTGTAGAGCACTATGTCAACGAGCGTTGCCTCTCATCGGATGGAGTTAGTTAAGCACATGAATCCTGTGGAAAAGAAGGCATGAAACGCAAGGAAATATATTGCATTCCATATAATTCATTAACTAGTTCTTTGTTTCACAGTCGAGAAAATTTTCACATGAACACCATAATGATAAAATATGCATTAAGATCCAACTACTAGAGCATGTGTTGCGCAGTGGTTAGAGGTACTCTGCGAAGCATACTGGATCAGTCGTTGGTTCGATTCCGCGCTCAGGCCTAACCAGGCCTTCTCTCCGTTGTCACTAAACTGGTAGCAAACTTGTCTAGGAGGGTAAGAACATTGAGTTGACACGGTAGGGTATTGCTAGCCATTGTACAGACCAGGTGTACATTTAATCACCGTTACTGATGCTTGGTGAAGTCGGATAGGTGGCACGGATCGCTAAGACATAGATTAACGCCAAACACTTTACGTATCGGAATGCGATGTACAACGGGTGGATTCATCCACCCAATAGGGCCTCCCAAGCTGAGAAGGAGGCAGAGGTTTCCATCAGGAAGCCCAGCTAAAAGTAAACTGATACCTATATCCACCACCTTCCTACTATTAAACTAGTAGCATGATGGCAAACCTCTTTGTGATCCACAAAGGCAGCGACTGCCTGTGGTGGCGACAACCTGAGACAAACTTTAGCCTCGCTAACATCGATGCTCCAGGGAACCACAATGGATAAAACCAGCAAAGCTCCGAGAAAGCAGAAATTATGTTGGGGCCCGTACAACCAGTGGAGATGGGCCATCCAAGTGTTCAGGTAAGTATCCTTTTATCCATTGGTTAGATCACGAGTTTCTTCTTGAAATAAAAGTTATGTTTGAATAAGAAAAATGAGTCATGAAGTATGCCTAAGATTTCTTTCATACATTTGTGACAGTTCTTAATTTTTATCTGGACAACGGAAAACGGGTGAAATTGGTCGGTTGCAGAATGCATTGCACTCAATGCACACTTCATTGGGCTGGGCCTTCGCCGAGACAAGTAGTATGCTATCTACGTCAACGATACTAACAATGCTCTGTTGATACAAAAGGCAAGCGATCACCACGGGACTATGCGTGTTTTTGCAGCAGAAATGTTGTTCCTTCCACTTTTGTTTCAATATATAGCTTTTCTCGGAGCAACAACAGTACAACATCTATGTCAGGAGATCGTTGATTGAATACAGCAAAGATTAAAAAACTATACTGCAAAATTGGCCATCACGAAAGTAATGCATTGTCCGTTGTACTTGCCCTCGCGCATATTCATATCAATGCGCACTAAAATGAATGTCTTTAGTAGAACTTGGTTGAGTTGACCACGTTTCCGTGCAAGTCGCTTATAGATGTAGGTAGTCCACATTTTCACATTAGACCAACTAGATCGCAACCGCATGAGACTTTGTGTGTATCGGGCCAGATGTCTCCACTCCTGTCTTAGTTGTGTAGCAGCAGAGGTGGTGACTTTACAACAAGCTGCAAGTGTTCGGGTATTTGTCTCACTCAGTTGTCTGCATTCCCACTCTTTATTTGTGTTATTTCATGAAATTTATGTGCCTCTAGCTGTGATTAGAGATGAATCGGGATCCCGTTCTTTCGAATTTTTAAAGCTTTATCCTGGAAGTGTAACATTGTGAGTATGACTCTGTCGTGATTTTGTTGAATCATTATCTTCACATTTTCTTGTATAATATAATAAAAGGATAAAGGTCTTGGCCTTGATCAATTCCTGAGGGATGCTCCATGCATTCGACTTCATTAAGCATCGTTTAGAGGTTATTAAACACATATCTGGCCTTTACAATGACTCGCAGTGGCCCACCGATGTATCGAGCCAGTGTTGCTATCCTCATAAACAAATTTGGTACCAATTTGCCAACCCCGGAGGGAAGGAAGGTCTGGTGGGCTATGAGCGCGGGTATCAATTCCACATGTATGTTGCAGGGCGCTTCAGACCACTGCGTCACACGCTCTCACATTTCCTTGCAGTATTCCATATTATAGTCTGTCGATGGATTATCCGAAAGGTAAGGGCAGTTTTTTTTGCCTTTCTTTTCATCATATCTATTGATTTCAATGAATGCGTGACGGTTAATAATAAAGCTTCTCAGCTTTGAATGAACATGTCTTAGCTCGCATTGAGTTTTGTTACTTGAAATGAAAATCCTAGGAATCCACACACTAGAAAAACACTATTTCTGCTACACCAAACTAGCTCTGACTTTTTGGGACCTGCGAAATATCTTTCATCGCTTCTTCTCGCCGTTGATCGTATTTCGAACGCTCGAGAGATCGAGCAGTTGCGATTTCGTAGAACATGACATGACCTTCTCCCCTCAAACATCCTTGAAGCTCGTGGCTCCTGTTCTTGCGTGGAAAATTTTAAATCCATAAATTTTGTTTTTCTCTAAAATTGAACCTCGGAAAAATCTGAAGTAAAATTTGACCTTAGAAAAGTTGTTACATCCTTAAAAAAAGTTAGTTTAGTACATAACGACGGTGATATATCGAGTGCAGTGAAAACAGTGACCGCTTTAAATCATCTCAGCCTGTGGGCGCTTGTGGAGCAGTGGTCGGAGGCGCCCTGCAACATAAATGGGGTCGGTCCCCACACCCATGGCCCACCAAGCGTTCCATCCCTCCGGGTTCAGCAAATTGGTACCAAACTTGTCAGGGAGGGTAGCAGCACTGGCTCGATACATCGGTAGACTATTGCGACTCATTGTAAAGGCCAGATATGCATTCAGTCACCTACAAACGATGTTTAATGAAGTCAAATGCATGGCGCATCCCTCAGGGATTGATCAACGCCGACAGCTCTATCCTTTATCCTTTTATCTCAGCCTGTGCTAAAATTTATTAGTTTAAATGATATTGTGATTTTCTGCAGTTTAGGATATAGAGCAAGGTCTCCTCTATAAATGTCTAAAGCTCGGAGTCTCTGAAATGTTTTAATAATTGGGAGGGTATCGACTTATTTGCTGCTTTATTTGCGCGGGCCCCAAATAATTTTC